TGCCCGACGAGCACCTGGAAATGAATGCTGATGTCTCCATTAGTTGGGGAAAATGCTTCACACACTTAGAAATTGGCAATACGCCGTCCCTTCAGGGGATTCAAAGCAGACAAGATGTACCAAGAAAGGAGGGCACGGAAAGAAACATTCACTTTGAGAAGGTGGATGGGACAGGGAAACAGGGCAAGAAGCTGCCCTTGGCTAAATATGTGCATGCTGTTACCTCGTTCCAGTCCCATCAGTTTCATCAGCTCCCCCCAGAACCGGGAGACGAATTGGGTCCCCCGGCCGGAGACCACATTGGTGGGGAGCATGTGCAACCTCACCACGTGCAGGAGGAACGCTCTTGCTAGTGTTTTAGCCGTGGGTAGTGAAGCAAATGGAATGAAATGTGCTTGCTTAGAAAATAGATCCACTACCACCCAAATCACATTGATATTTGCTCGGTGGCAAGTCAATTATAAAATCCGTGGAGATGACTTCCCAGGGTCGACTCAGATTGGGAAGCAGATGTAACAGTCCCTGGGTTTTCCCCAGCCTGGGTTTACTCATGGCACAGATTTGGCATGACTGAAGAAAGGAGGATAAATCCTTGCACATTTGTGGCCACTAAAACTGCCTTTGGAGTAATTGAAGAGATTTAACGAACCCCGAGTGTCTATATACAGATGTGCAGGAGGGAGTTGTATTGTCTAGGTTTTTCCTAGGTGCCGTGGGAGAGTGTTGGTTCTCAGCTTTAGCTACCTAACGGTCTCCAAGCTTTATTCCGTGCACGGGAGGGTGCCCAATTGGCCAGTGCTCTGGGGGGGGGTGCATACGAATACCCTATATCCTATTATGCCCAAGGAGCCGCCACCATTCTTAACAGTGCTTATGTTACTGCTCTCTCTAGCTCTGCAATACTTTTATTGCAGAGCTAGAACGAGCATTAACAAGATTGCAGTATCGAAATATCGCCTGGCCAAAAACTGCAATGGGGCCGGCCGAGAATGACGAACTGCGCAAATTTATTGATAAAAACCTGGCCAGGGGTTTCATCAGGCCAGCCTCCTCCCCTTTTGCAGCCCCGGTTCTCTTCCAGAAGAAGAAAGATGGGGGGTTGAGGCTGTGCTCGGATTACCAAGGATTGAATGCAGTTTCTTCGACCAATGCTTACCCCATGCCCCTGATCAAGGATTCACTTGCCGAGGTGGCCAAACGGCAAATATTTTCTAAGTTGGATCTCCGCGATGCTTACTTTAGGGTCCATATCAGGGAGGGGGGTGAACACAAGACTGCCTTTAATACACCCCTGGGCCAGTTTGAGTATCGTGTGATGCCGTTCGGTCTTCAGGGGGCACCGGAGGTCTTCATGAATCTAATCAATGAGGTGTTGCACAAGCACTTGTTCAAGGGGGCACTTGTTTACCTAGATGATAACTTGCTGTACTCCCCCGACCTACCCTTCCATGTGAAATTGGTGAGGGACGTTCTGACTACGTTGCACAAGCACAAATTGTTTGTGAAACTCTCTAAGTGCGAGTTTCACAAGACCCACATTGACTTTCTAGGATATTGGATCTCGGATAAGGGCTTGGAGATGGACCCGGGGAAAGTACGAGATGCACCCGGAGCCAGTTACAATCTTTCCTCGGTTTGCGAACTTTTACAGAAATTTCGATCTCGGATAAGGGCTTGGAGATGGACCCGGGGAAAGTACGAGATGCACCCGGAGCCAGTTACAATCTTTCCTCGGTTTGCGAACTTTTACAGAAATTTCCTGCCCAATTTTGCCCACGTCAGTTTGCCCCTGACCGACTTGTTGAAAACAAAGGGGAAGGGCCTGGATGCAACCAAGCCGGGGGGCAGCGTTGGCTTGAAGTCGGGAGTGCAAGGAGGCTTTCGAACGCCTCAAGACTTTGTTCACCTCAGAGCCAGTTTTAGCTCACTCTGATGAAACGAAAAATTTATTGTTCAAACTGAGGCGCCTGATGTGGCCATGGGGGGGCAATTCTCCAGGAAGGGGGGGATGGGTTACTACACCCCTTGGCACACGTGTCTACGAAGGTTAATGACACAGAACGCAATTGGTCAGTTTGGGAGAAGGAGGCGGGGGCCATAAAACTCGCCTTGGCCACCTGGAGACACTGGCTGGAAGGTGCGCGAGTTCGAGGTATGGACTGATCATAAAAACTTGGAAACGCTCAAAACACCCCAGTGTCTAAACACAAAACAACTCTGGTGGGCTGATTTCTTTTCCAAGTTCCAGTTCACCCGTCATCATTTTCCTGGCTCCACGAACTCTTTGGCTGACGCCCTGTCACGCCTCCCCCAACATGACAGCCAACGAGAAATTATTTTGGACTTGGTGTTCATGCCTTCCCACCTGGGCGGGGCGGTGACGACACGTAGCCAGACTCACCCTGCCACCCTCCCCCCTGCGTCACGGCCACCTGACACTTCCCAGTCGGACAAGCTGGGGGGGGAGCCTTGGCACAGCAAACTCACCTTCGCCTT